CAGAAGAGAACCCGGTTTCCACCCTTCTGTGAGCAACAAAGAAGAATCAGTTCATTATCACAAACTTAAAAGGGAATCAAGTACCAGCTTTATTACAAGCAATTGCTGAGCTGCCCCCCAGAAGAACAGTAAACTTGCTAGTATCTGTAACAGCCCACATTCCTAGTGACAGCACAGAGGACATTCACCACCACATGCGTTGACATAGGTGGAATTAGCAGCACTAATAAAAGTGTATCTTGTGTGTTATCCTCACCATTAAAACCAGTCTACTCCATGAAAACTTTTATTACTTTCAGAATGATAAAATTTCAAGCACCAGAATAATCTGAAATACAGCAAATTTATGTGTTCTTCCAAATTAAAAACATTGTTTGATGCAAATACTAATCGAATCCAATCCCATTTTACTCCTGTCTGTGCTCTTATTCTAAATGTGTAATAAAGTATGTGAAGCACTTAGGTTTGTATTTATTCTCAAAAGACAGTAGCTACCACGTCAGACTGCATTAAACAGCCAGGCTCAACTTCCAAATACTACTGTATTCCTAAACAGGATAGTAAATACGATTTTTAAACTGAAATAAGCGTTTAATTCTATTCAGAAGGAAAACTGTGGTGGCTTGCATGGTCATAATGAGAACTGGTAAAGAATCTCTCTAATTGACAACTTGTGATCTAAAATAAGTGTCCCCAACCTCCGGGCCATGGGCAGGTACCAGTCCAGGCCTGTCAGGGACCAGGTTGCACAGCAGGAAGTGAGCTTGCGTGTAATGGGCTTGACTCATCCCAAAACCCTCCCTCTACCCCAGTCCATGGGAAAACTGTCTTCCACAAAACCAATCCCTGGTGCCAATAAGACTGGGGACCACTGATTTAAAACATCTTGTCCACTTTAGGTTGGTATGTATCTCTCCTTTTATATTAGCTGGCATTATCCAAGAAGACAAATTCATGCCAGTGAGACACTGTGCATTTATGGTGGTGGGGGCAGGGGAGAATGCTGCTTAATAATGCACTATAATTTTTTTAAAAAGACATACCTTCAAGAATTGGATAGTATGGCCATTCAGCAATGAGAGAAATAAATTGCAGGCAATTTACCTGTCGAAGACTTTTTTTTGTACCCTTTCCCTAACAACAGTCCTTTCTAGTTGAAACATTCTACAGTTTTGTGTGTAATGTCTGAGATTTCTTAATACAAGGGAATCCAAAAATGCCAGAGAACAAACATCACTTAAGGGAATTTATCATGGCTACGCTGCTGAAAAGTCGAGTTGACAGGAACTGATTTTCATCCCCGCCCTGCTGTCAAAGCCCAAATCCACAACGTTTCAAAAACACATTACTGTTTCCCACAAATGCCCTTTATTTTTCCTTTTGGTAACTTCCCACCATTCTGTTTGTACTAAAGTGATGTAACAATCATTCAAGAGTTTTATGGTTTTATGAAAGAAACCAGTGGAGGCGGACATGTGACAAGAGCAGGAGGAGATGTGGACAGTAGAGGCACTCCTACCTGCATGCTGGGGGGGTGGGGGGGGTGCATTTGTTAGCTCAGCAAAAGGGATGCAATTACAAAACAATGTGTATCCGTTCCCTAGAGCTGCCATAACAGATTACCACAGGTTGGGGGATTTAAAACCAGAAACATTGTCTGGAGTCCGGAAGCTGAAAGTCCCGTAAGGAGGTGTTGGCAAAATTGGTTCCCTCTGGAGGCTGTGAGGGAGAATCTGTTCCATGCTTCTTCCTTGTTTCCGGCAGCTGACAGCAATCCCTCGAGTTCCCTGGCTTGTAGCTGCATCTCTCTCATCTCTGCCTCCATCTTCACATGCCTTCTTCCCTCTGTGTGTCTGTGAATTGCATCTCTCATGGACTTCATACAGAGACTCCCGCATGATGGACTTAGGGCCCACCTCAATCCAGTACGTCCTCATCTTAACTAGTTACATCTACGAAGATGCTATTTCCAAAGAGGGGCATATTCTGAGCTCCTGGGTACACGTGAATCAACCCAGTACACAATGATATGCTCACATTTGAACTTCCTATATAAACTTGAAATGGATGACTGTACACTCACTGCACGGTCTTTGCTCACTGCTGTCTCCTATAACTGCACCTGCATCTACAGGTTCTCCATCAGTGTCTGCTGGATGATGAACAGATGAACCTACTGATGCAGGACCGGAGTCTTGCCCTGGTGTGTGGATCTGCTGAATGACGGCCTCTATCTCTGACATAAAGCCCCGTCTATGCTCTCCAGAGTCATTTCCTCTAACACGGACTGAGAAGGTACAAGAAGGTAAAGATGCTTGCAAAGCAACCTGAGTGCAGGATCTTCAATTTTTGTAATCCTTCCCCACATCCTTTCAGCATTGTCACCCACATTTAATTTCAATAGCCATCACTTTAATATGCTAAACTTGCTTTGGTGACTTTCCAAAGGACCCAACTGAGATTTAAAGAACCCATGTTCTCTCCTTCTAAATATAATCAGCTTATATATAAGTACAAGCTGGAATAAACAAGTTTCAGAATAAACACAGATGACACTAGATAAGCGTATAAATCAACTGATGAAATCAGGAGAGCCCGTGAGTGCCAGCTGCAAACACTCCAGGCTCCGGCGTCCCCATGGGTGTGATTTACAGGCAATGGGCAGCACCAGCCACTGACAGCCAGGCGCAGGGTCCAAAATGCAGTGAGTGACTGACTGGTGGAGGAAGGGGACCGAAGTAGGGTGGTGGCAGCAATCAGGGAAAGCTTTGTAAAACAGTGATCTTTGAACTGGGTTTGGGGAAAAGAAGTAAAAGATTTCTACATAGATAAGGATGATAAATATCCCTCTAATCAGCGGAATGAGCAAGGCAGAGACAGAGAGACATGGACTAACCTAGCATGCACGCAGACCGTAAACTTTTTCGGCATTGCTGCCATTTGCAGAGCAAACGGGAGCAGGAGATGGGCCGAGGTAAGACAGGACCGTCTCATCATCTGCCTGGTATTCTAGAACCTCGTTGGCTGGTACAGAGAACACAGCCTAGAGAAGGGGCAGGGTGGTAGGAAAGATGGCCAGTCGGGAAAACTGCACACATGGGTGGCCCCGTGTGATGGCAGTGGGCACGCAGAGCAGCGAGTGGAGCCAAGGGACAGCCAGGCTGCCAACCTGATAGGACGTAGGGACATAAGGGGGTGGAGGATAGGGTAGGGGAGGTGGCTTCCTGGGACTGCCACAGGCACCTGTCTCTCACTTCTGTGTTCCTGCAGAATGGCCCCCTCTGCCAGGCATACCCTTCCTTCTGCCTGAGCAGCTCCAGGCCCTGGCACTGCTGTACTGAGAACCCAAAAACAGTTGCAGAAAGGAATGAATGAATAGACACTTTGTGCCTTGAAAAGAAAAGATGATGCAGGTGAAAAAAAGGTAATAATCTACTTTGAGCTAGAGTAAAAGTTTTTTATTCAATATCCCAACCAAATGGCTCGGGGGCTATTTAATTGAGGTTTCTGGAAACATTGAAAAAAGGACTGACAAATGCTAGAGTATTTAACTCACTCATTTACTAAACAACTAGTAAAAGCCAGGATCTCTTCTAAGTATCGGAGGGGTGGGGGCATGGTTATGGGGTGAAACCAAAAAAATGAAGTTTGTTAATTAAACAGTAGGCAGAGTTATGATCACCATTTAAAAATTACTTTAAATGCTCTAACTGCCCCACTATATTGTTATCTTTCTTGTTCCCATATTTTTCTAGCAATACACATCAATAAAAAAGAAAACAAAGTTTGTGAGCTTGTTTCAGAAAAATTGAGAAACTGCTTCATAATCTGGGGGGGAAGGAACACAGAAAGGAGACAACTCAAAGAAAAATAGGTAAAATCCAGAGTCCTGAGGGTAAGAAAAAAATGATGCAAGAAAAGCCACTCTGAGACCAAAGCACAGCCATGGAAATTTCAGTGCAACAGTCTTTGTGTCCCAGAGCAACACGCTTGCCTTCCTAGGCCTCTTCATGATGGGATGGGCTAGATGCACAACTTGCAAAGTTCACAGAAAGGAGCCGTGAGTTGTAACCCCCTTACTTCACTGCCTATCCTGCAGTAGCTCATCAAACGAAATGCAGTTCAGCCTGAAGGGAGACCGCAGGTTCTCTCTGACCTCAGACTGCCCGCAGGGAACAGAACCAACTGCTAAGGAAGTAACATGTACCCATACACAGTGTGCTGTGAGGAATGTCTGTGCCTTAGTGTCCATTCCTCGGGATTTCTGAAGTTATTACTGAACAAACATCAACAGGGCATAGAATTTTCACTAATTCACCCATCGTCTTCACCACGTGACCAGTCAGGGCAAGCGTGGCCCACAGGTAAAGGCCGGGTGACACATTTTGACACTGTTATGGAGACCTCCCGCTGTGCCTGGCATTACCTTTCTAGTTGCTGCATGTCTGATGGATCTGGTTGGGGAGAGGCTACTGGTTGGGGAGGGGGCAGCCAGGGGACACTCAAGAGGGGAAGGTAGCAGCTATTTATCAGCTGGTATGGAAGAATTTCTGTATTAGCAACTAGGAGAGATAAACACCAACTCAACGTTAAGGGCCTTAGAATAGGGGATCAGCAAACTTCCACTGTAAAGAGCAAGATAGCAAATATTTTAGGCTTTGCGGCTCATATGGTTTCTGTCTCAACCACTCGACTCTATCATCATTGTGCAAAAGCAGCCAGAGACAACATAAATGAGTAAGTGCCTGGCTGTGTTCCAACGTAACTACAAAAACAGGTGGTGGGCCAGATCCTGCCCATGGGCCACCGTGTGCAACTCCTGCCTGACAACACATCAGGGCTCACGGTCCTACAGAGCAACCAAACCCCATTAGCACTGTCTTACCAACAGATTTAACCAGGCCCCCATGATTCTGATGTGCACTCTTGATCCTTATGGGCTCCAAGAGAGGGAGTCAAAGCCAGCAGTCAGACTGTCCCCCACAAATTAAGATACTCACCCAGAAAAATCCGTAGTGAGAATCCCATAGTGGAAGATGTATATTCTGCTGATGTGGCATATCGTCAAGTATCCCATTGCTACAAAAAAGGAGTATCTGAAACCAAAAACACACAGGATGGGATTACTATGCATTCCAAGAATGTATTCAATCAGTTTTCTCCTCTTCCTTCCCCTCACTCCCCTCATTTGCAATGTCACAAAGTCCTGTCTGGTCTTTGATCCCAGTCCACCTCCTCCACACTGCTCTGAGCCCTTCATCTCGTCTCACCTGGACCACTGTAGTCCTTAACTTTGGCAGCATAATGGAATCACCTGGGGAATCACTGCAAATCACAGATGTCTGGGCCGCAGCCCCAGATATTCAGGTGTAATCAGTACAGCATGCACAGAGCAGGCGTAATTCCAATGTGCAGCCAGAGCTGCGAACCACTCACCTGTAAGGTCTGCCCTCAGAGACTCCTCTTCACCAACCGTCACATTTATACAATGATCTTTGTAAATAAAAATCGTCACCATGTGCCCACCGCTCTCTTCCTAAAACACCTTGCTCTCTTGGCTTCAATTCTCCTTGTTTTCTTCATGCCTCTTTGGTTAATTCTTCCCAGACTCTTGCTCAGCCTGTCTTCTTCCACCTATTCCTTAGGTGTTAGCATCCCTAGTTCTCTGCCCAGGACCTTCCCTGTCCATGCCTGAGACTTCAACTACCACCTACTCCATATCACTCCATACCACGCCCCCCTCCCATAGCATAAACCAGCAACACACACACATATACACGCCTGCCCCTCAGAACACGCATCAACTTGTAATTATAAAGATATGTGATAATCTGATTAACTACTGTCTCTCTTGCTCGACAAAAACTCCATGAAGACAAGGATGATCATATGTGTTTTGTTCATTATTCAGCCACCTACTGTGTGTTGAATGGACAAATAACTAAATAACTGTGATTTGTCTTAAAAGTTTCCAAAGGGTCTCACTATCTAGTCACAGGAAAACTCCTGAAGATAGCATGCGAGGTGCTTCCCACACTAAGCTCTACCTCACCTTCCTGGGCTCATCTCCAGCCATGCTCCTCATCCACCATCTGTTCCAGCCGCACTAGATTGTTCAAATTCCACAATTACAGCCTGCATTCTCAGGCCAGGTATCCTTCTGCAAGCTGCTGCTTCTGCCTACAGCTCCTTTCTCCATCCTCGCACCTATCTGGGGACTCCCTAACTGTCAGATAAGGCTTAGCTCCAATGTCACCCGGCTTGGTCTGGCTCCATCCATTTATGCCATCCCCACTCCCAGCATGATTCATTGCCTTGTCGCCTGTATTTCTCTAGTGCTAGACACTAGCATATATAATTATAATATTAAAACTGTAAGTATACATTTCCCCAACTCACTGTGACCGTGAACATCCCAACCTTCGACCTAACACACAGGAGAGTTTAACTGACTGTTAGTTGAAAAGAACTGAAGTGAATACATTAAACATTTTAAGTGATTCAAGAACTCATCAGAGATATGCATTCAAAAGGTATAACTTTTTAAACATGTATATTCTGATACTAAATTATCTTGAAATATACAAATTCACATTAAAATAACTCATAAAGACTAGATCAGCCTAAGGAATAGTAAAGAGTAAGAATAATAAAAATTCATTTGGTAGCAAAAGAGAGCCAGATGAGTGTGAAGTTTTTTCATACACTCTAGCATGCTATATAAACCTTGACGTTCTCTTTACCATTATTTGCAATCAAAGATGTTAACACACAACAAAGATTTTCCCCTATCCCGGGTTCAAACTTAACCCTTTCCAAACCAGAAGATGGTGAATGAAACCAACAACTAAGAAAAAAACAGTCCCTTAAGAGCTGAAGCAGAAGCTGAAATAGGAGTCCAGCCACTTTGCCTCCAGCATGCGTTCCCTTTCCCAGCCAGCTCAGGAGGGTCAAGGCAGAAGCACAGAGCAGATTCAAAAGACAGATTCTTCCAGGGCCCTTTCAAATGCGGCCATGCCTGCTGCCTCCTCTTTCCCCTCAACAGGACCTACACCTGCACCTTCCCCTGCCCCCTGACCCAGAAAGAAAACCAAGTTCAATGCAATTGTTATAAGAGCCACCTATCAAGGACGGTGCCAAGTATTGCATCCCAATACAATAGGGCAATGCATTCACGCCCTGGACAAACCTGAAAAATCTAAAGAATCCCGAAGTGGTAGAGGAAGCATGTATTCTGGAGACAGAACAACATGGTTTAAAATCCCAGGCCTGGTGAGAGTAATCTGTGGTCTGGGATGTCGGGACAGTGGTTATTTTAGTAAGGAGGGCTGTGGTAAAGGCTGGGACACGCGTGACAGCAATATTCCCCTTTCTGACCTGGGTGGTAAATACGTGAGCATACTCACTGTGTGAAAACTCATCAAACTGCACACCTTTTATACCTCTGAGTTTCATTTCCTCATCTCAGGGGGGAAAAAAAGCTATGTCCTACTGAGTTGTCCTAGAAAGAATGTATTTGCAATAATGATAAATACTAAATAACACATTAAATAAGAGTTTATACATTAAAAATAATGAAACCTAATATATTTAAAACATCTTGGCCCTGCACTTGGCATAAAGCAGGTACTCTGAGATTGGCCTCTGTCCTAGGAAATACAAACTATATCCTGCTCCAGCTTGGTTCCTATGCGGTAAAGCAATGCCCATGACTTCTGCCTAACATAGCGGCTTGAGAAGGAAACAGGTGCTACCGCAAGGACTCTCTAGACAAATCCTGAATAACGACAGTCAGTCCAGAAATGGGTTAGTTCCACATGGCAGCAAATACTGACCTTCCCCTCCTCTTCCTGGCCATATATGCCAGAATTGTTAAAATGGGCTCAGTAAAGAGAAGAGGACAATTCACCAAAAATCGTGAAATCCTGGTCTTGAAGAGAACTTAAGTTCAAACTACCACAAACCCCACATTTGATAGCGGGGAAATCTGATGCACGGAGAAGCTGCGTCACTTGTCTGGACTCACACAGCTAGAATGAGCCAGATTTCCTGACTGTGGTCTACTACTTTTCCCCACATCAATAGGACACAACTCTCTCCTCTGAGAACTGAGCCACTGCCTGCCTCTGCAGTGCTGGGGAACCACACAAGCAAAGAAAGAGAGAAAAACTTTTTCTGGCATCCTTTCTTTTTGGTCTTATGACACAGCTGTCTGCTACCACAATATTATTGCCTGTCTGTAAAGTGTTCTGTTCTGCCAAGGCCAGAGTATTCCATTCCTGGCCACGGATGAACACAGAGGTCCTCCGGGGGCCTGGCACAGAATTAGTGTGCACGGAAGTTCTTCACTCCGAAAAACGGACCGCACCCCATCAGCATCATACAAGCGTGGGCAGAGCTGACAAATTATAATTTATAAGGAAATGTCCTAGAGATGGAACAACATATTTTATTAATCATTTCATTGTTTCCAAAATCAAGTTTGGAAAAAGTCAGCTATTTTCACCCCCATTAAAAAAAAGAAAAAGAAAAGAAAAAATAAGCATTTTGTCATAATATAAAGCATTTCCAAAACCCATTCTTTCCAAATTAGAAATACGAGTTTTCTATTTCCCTTCTGAATGAATGAGAAGCTCTCCTTCAAGGAGGGCACTTAGAAGAGAGATGATTAGGATTCAAATTTTCAGAGCTCATTTGGATACTAAGTTGAATGACTATCAAATTTAAAGCATGAAACAATATTTTCCCTTGAAAACCAGAAATTTATTTGAAGTAATTACAAGACTACACACTGAGAAGTTAAAATTCAATGACTTTAAGAAGCAAAACTATTGTGCTAATAGTCTTATTAATCAAAGAGCTTTCCAAAGCCAAAATAAGGCATCTGCTTTTTCAGAGACACCATCAGAGAAGTCTTAGTCATTCATTCCATAAATATTTATTGAGGCCTTACTTGTGCCAGGTATTGTTCCAGGCTCTGAGGATACAACAGTGACCAAGAGAGAAAGGTCTTTGTTTTCACAGAGCTTACATTCCAGTGTCGTTGACTGGCAGAACTAACACTGAGGTTTCAGAAAGACCACGGGAAACAGAGACAATGCAGAACAGATACCCCTGTTACCTTAATTGATAGTCTAAGCATGTAGCCTTCAAGGAAGAATGAAATTACTTCTGTATTTTGAAATCAAAATATCATAATAAAAATTTCTTTTCTTTAACAGTTTCAACGTACAGAATTAAAGTATACAAGTTCTGACATACATATGTACCCAGAAAACCACAGCCAAATCCAAGATAATAGACATATGTGTCCATCAGCCCCCACGTGTCTTCCTGCCTCTTTGAGATCCCTGTCACGTCCTCCTGCACCACCCCGGCCCTGGGAACCTCTGATCTGATTTCGGTCGCTACAGATTAGTTTGCCCTTTGGAGAATAGAATGTGTGTGGCTTCCTTCACTCAGCATTATTTATTTGCAATTCATCCATGTCACTGTGTGGATCAATCATCCATTCCTTTTTATTGCTGAGTAGTAGTCCATGGTGGGGACCATTCGTGTTATTTCCAGTTTGGGGCTATGACAAATAGAGCTGCCTAATTCTGATACAGTGTTTTTTTACTGGAGACCCAATTTGGCCCCCGACCTTCTTTGTAAAGCTTTCTCTACAGACTCCCAACATTTACGACTCCCTACCTCTCCTTCCGATATCCCAAAGAACCTGGGGTATGCCACGTGTGGCATATGGGAAAGGTACTCCCTCCCCTGGAAATACATTTCAAAGATCATGAGTAACCTCATCTTGTACTGTTCGCTCCCACAGTCTTACCTGTGAATATTGGATACACTTGCAGTGACCATGATTCCATAGCACGTTAACACCAGCACAAACAGATGCGCAGAGTACCTTTAAGACATGCGGGGGGGAGGGGGAAAAACACGGAATATATTTCATATTAACATACTTATCGGTTACCCATACTGATACTCCACCTCCACCCCAGCAAGAAGCAAGCGATTAGTTAACTCATGTTTATATAAAAGAAAGTTAATCGAGTATTTTTGTTCTATAGAACTAAGAACTTTATCTTGAAATGATACTAAGTAGTCATGACACACTCTGCCAATTGCAGCACCAGTAACGTCAGGAATCATAAATGGGATGCTTATACTTTTCACATACACAAGTGAGAGTCTGGAGGAGAGTTCTTTCTTTCTTCAGGGCTTTTTTTTCTTTTTTAAATTTTAAAGGACCAGGACCACTAAGCTGTCCCAGGTGCCAAGACTTTTAACTGACTTGGTGGCTGATTCAGAACACTCATCACTTTTGCTCAAATTTCATTTGAAAGAATAAGAGCAGCTTCTAATGCCCTGAACAAATTCACAAGTTTCCTTAAGTTGTACTTCTAGAAATGCTGGTTCCTAAAGCTTCTTCCCCCAAAAGTGTCACTCCCAAGGTACTAACCAGCTTACCTAGCAGAGGAAAGTCTAGTCTACATGCCTGCTTTGTTCAAGAATGACTCTCATTCCCTGAGACTGGCACTGAAACTACTGCTTTACTCCAAGTGTAGGACAAACACCTGTATCTCCAGCAGTGATGCAAGGAAAAACCTATGTCCACAACATTTGGGAATGCTTCCTGGTCAGGAAAATTAAACCTTATAAAAATCCATTTACATGACCCAGGAGAGATCAAAAAAGTGCAACTTCAAGAAAAATTCACCAAACTGACTTTCAATGGGTAGTCAAGTTTATTGATTCCAGGTTCTTACAGTAAAGGTAAATTTCTTCAACATCCCTATTATTTTAAGTAAATACATATTTCTTTCCTTAGAACCTGGGAAATGCCAAGAATATTGCCACAAAACACCCAAATGATAACTATTAGAATTTACGAGGCTCCTACTCACCAGCCAAAACAAAAGATGACAAAATAGATGCCAAAAATGGTGGCAAACGTGTGCCGGGCCACGGGACTAGTTTTACCAGGACTTAAGTAGATGCGAAACCAGAAAGCAGCACATAAAGCAACGAGCTGGCAGGCCACGAAATTCACCTGCAAGGGGAAAAAAGAAAGAAGCAAAACTTTTATTGTTTGGTCCATGTGAGAATGTTCTCGACATTTTTCAGATTTCCGTGTCAAGGAGCATCTCAGACTGGGACTTTTCTGCTGCAGAGTGTTCACTTGGAAGAAGGAGGAGAACTGTGCCCTCCTCACCTGCTTTAAGAAGTGAGCAGCCCAATAGAGGCAGACCTTGTTTTATTGAGCTTCACTTTATTGTGCTTCACAGGTCCCCATTTTCTACAAACCGAAGGCAAGACCCTCCCCCAGCGAAAAGATCTTGACTCACTTTATTGCCATATTCGCTTTATTATGGTGGTCTGGAACCGAACCTGAAATAACTCCTGTAGTTTCTATTTCAATTCTTTAAGACTAGCCAAGGTTGCTTTCCCACTCACAAAACAGGAGAGTTGTTCATGTAAAGCCTTTGGGTGACTGTGAGATCAGTTTGCTGGGTCTCTTCCCACAATCCCCAGCACTATCCTAAGGTAAAGAATATGTTCTTTTAGAGATGCAAATGAATCAAATCAAAGACTTCCCTCATCTGGTACCTAAGAAATCAAATGCTTCCTCAAAGTAATCATCGCCTGTTTTAGGACTCTAATTTTTCTCATTTTAAATTAACACCCAAAAAGCAAGAGCATTGCTCAAATTCAAGGTGTGGTATTAAAGATCAAAAGAAACAGCCCTGCATTAAACTTTCAACGTCAGTGCTGTCCAATTATTCCAAGTTGGAACCAAATTCCTTAGAAAAACCTCAGCAATCTAGCTCTCAAAAACATTTTCCTTAAAAGAAAATATAAAATAATACCCTGATACCCATAGGAAAGATCACCTGATATGACGCAAAATCAAAATACATTCAGTGATATAACGGTTAATGAAAACTAGAAAAGCAGTTTAATCTTTTCGGAGTATTCCCAATAAAAACTTCAGTATCAACTGGCTTTGAGGGGACACTTAACTGAAAAGGGATCAAGGCTATAAATATCTGAATAGACCCTCAACTTCAGCCTGGGCAGTTTTTCATGCTACAAAACGCTCTAGCTATAAAATTCATGAGGGCTGGGCTCCAAGGTAGCACCAGAAGTGGTAGACATCACCTCCCCTTGAGGCCATTTTCATTTTGCGATGAAAAACAAGAATACTTTGGGCCCCTTCTAATTCATAGAAAATAATATTTTCAAAGAACTTTTTGTCCTGTTTTTAAAAATTGGCTGTACTATGTGTCCCCTCCATTTGGAGCTCATTCTTCATCAGTCTTCCCAAAATCCTATTTCCCCTACCGCCCACCCTCACTTTATACTCTGAAAGGCACAGAAGAGTTGAGCTATGATCCTATCCTGCATAATTTCAGTCATATCTTTTTATATAGGCTAAATGCACAACCACAAACACAAAAAAATAGATAAAAATAACCATCTTAGCAAGTTTCAAAATGTAAAGGAATTGGCAAATGGAAAGTCAAAGTTATGATCTTCTGTAGGTCATCAATTACACGTTCTTTCATTCTCTCAGTGCAGGGTCCAGCCTGCAGCCATGGAGGAATGTAGTTACTAAGGAAAGTGCCAAGGGAAAATTTGCTCCATTCCTTTTGGTTGGCCAGTAATTACTGACCATCCCTGAACCTGAGGACAGAGCAGTGGTTCTCAAGAGGACAGTCCCTGGACCACCAGCAGGAGCATCTACCCGGAAACATGTTTGTTGGAAATGCAAATTTTCAGGCCCCACCCAAGACCCAACAAATTCAACATTCCCAAGGTAGGTCCAGCAACCTGTGCTTTAAGAGCACTACTCTCCGCCCCCAAGTAATTGTAATGTACACTTAAGTTTGAGAACCACTGGGATAGACGACAAAGAAGCAATGTCCCTGCCATTGGAAGCATATGATCTAACTGGAGAAAGAACTCAAATAACATACAAGTGATTGTAAATTAATATTACAATACATTGTGTGAACTTACTACATTAAATGTTTAGATCCTAAGCATATGACAAGAAGTGTCATGGTTAAGGAAGAATAAGACTCAGGGGGATACAATAAGAAATGCTGTTGAAACAGATAAATATTGGGGGGTGGGGGTTAAAGACACTAAAACCACTGCTGCCTGGGTCCTATCCCTAACAGTTCTGATTCAATAGGCCTGACATCAGGACTTCGCAATGCATTCAGTGAATCTACTAGGCAGGCCAGATGGAGTCCTCCTAGTTTGGAAATATAAAGACAGAGACCTACGGAGGCACCCAAGGAACTGGGCTTTCCAAGAATGAAGAAAAACACAAAGAAAAGAGGGATTAGACTGTGAAAGCTTTGGGGGTGGGGTGAGATGGAACAAATTGAGGAGTGATCAAAGCCTGAAGGCCAGCACTCAGCCAGTACAGACCGCCTCAGCTGCCTGGGAGTCTCCTGCACTGGGTTTGCCTTCTGTAAGACCCCTCTAAACCTACCTCCAAGGAAGAGAGAGCTTTACCATGGGAAAACTACACCTAATCTTATAACCCTAGAGATTGAAAGAGAGGAAGAGAAGAGTCATTGGGTCATTGAAGCAATCTGCCATTTTTTAGTCACCATAGTATAGTGTATAGCCAACTGAATGCCCTAGTTCTGACATTAAGATGTCAACTGGGCAGCCCTCAATGATTAATTGATTAATTCTACAAATATATACTGTGTGACGCTATATACCAGATACTGGGGACTGGGGACAGTGACCAAGACACTATCACTACCTTAAGTCAAGAAGAGAAGACTTGCGTGCTCTGGATTTCAGTTCCTTCCTTCCTTCCTTTCCTTCCATCCTCCCTCCCTTCCTTCCTGCACAAACTGTGTCTTTGGAAGAACTAGTTTCTGATGTCTCTTCCAGCTCAAATAGTCTATGATTCTATGATTCTGTATCTAACCTGAATCCTTTCCTTTAACTGTTAGTGATAAATGCCCAAACCCAAGACATCATTATGGATTAAAAGCTTCCCCCATACACTCTTCCCCGCCCTCTACCCAGGAGTGAGTCACGGATGGCTAGCTGAATGTCCCACAGCAAACTGTTCCAAGGCAGAAGTAGAAACGCACTACAGCACCACTTAATACTAGCAGGAGGGTTCTATCAGAATTGCTTTCAAATTACCAGATGTACATCTTAAAAGGTACAGGCTGAACCACAATTAGATACCACTTTGCATCTATTAGGATGCCTATTATTTTTAAAAAAAAACAAAATAATAAGTGTTGGCAAGGATGTGGAGAAATTAGAACCCTTGTACACTGTTGGTGGAAATGTAAAATGGTACAGCCACTGTGGACAACAGTATGGCAGTTCTTAAAAAAATTAAAAATATAATTACATATGATTCAGCAATTCCAATTCTAAGTATACAGCCCAAAAAATGAAGTGCAGGATCTTCAATACATGTTCATAGTAGCATTGCTCGCAATAGCCAAAAGGTGGAAGCAACCCACATGTCCATCAACAGATGAATGGGTACACAAAATGTGGTATATACACACAGCAGAACATTATTCAGCCTTAAAATAAGCAAAATCCTGGCACACGCTACAACATGGATGAACCTTGAAGATACTATACTAAGTGAAACAAGCCAGTCACAAAAGGACAGATAGTGTATAATTCCATTTATATGAGGTACCTAAAATAGTCAAATTCACAGAGACTGACAGTAAAATGGTGGTTGCCAGGGGCTGGAGGGGGAGGGGATGTGGTTATTATTTGACACCCACAGAGTTTCAGTTTTGCAAGATGAAGAGTTCTGGAGTTGGGTGATGGTGATGATTGCACAAGAATGTGAATGTTCTTGATGCCACTGAACTGTATGCTTAAAAAAATATAAAAGTTTCCATTTTATCCTGTGTATATTTTACCAAAAAATTTTTCTTAAAGTGTAGGCTGGAGTATGATACCAATTTCTTTGTGCTTGCTAGCCCATGTGAACACTGGCGGCTAACAGAAGCTATGACCATCTCTGTGGCCAAGAGTGACCAGCTGCCACAAAAACAATTCATACAGGAACAGAATTAGATCTTTGTTCCTTTCCTCTCTAAGGGCCAACAAAATCGGAGGCATTATCTTTTAAAATACAACCTTAAATGGGTTTGGTTTGATGTATGAGATTGCTTCCAAATAATGTTAAAAGGGGTGGAAAGAGTGGAGTGAGCATAAATCAGTGGTTTCCAACTGGGGATGACTGTCCAGCAAGGGACGTTTTTGGTTGCCATAACCAGAAAGGGTGGGGGGGTCTAATGTCCAAGGATACTGCTAAGTATTCTAAAAGGCACAGGAGAACTTCCCACAACAAAGGATTTTCTGGCCCAAAGTGTCAATAGTACCGAAGCTAAGAAATCCTGGTATGGATGAAACAAAGTTGGCCACAAGTTGAAAACTTGCTGAAGATATGTTCTGGGCACATGAAAGTTTACTTGTGTGTGTTTGAATTTTCCCATAATACACAGGTTTTTAAAGTTACACAACTCTAGAAAGAAAGCAAATCCCGGGTCTGAAATAATACAGATACTAACCTCTTTATCCACATCGGAGAAACACCTAAGTTAGGGAGATAACATATATGAGCATAGAAACAAACCAAAAAAACAAAGAGCCCATTTCTTCCTAAATAGAAAAAGAACTACCTTTCATGAAATGATCAAACTCCCGTAAGAAAAAAATCAAATTATAACAATTACAACAGAAAAGACCTACCATCAATAGTAATCAAAGTAAGTACCGTGACCTGCCGTCCCATGACCCAGCAACAGACTCAGTAGTTACCTGCAGAATCAACAGAGCCAGACTACCAGCTGCAAGACCCTGCTCCACCACTTACTGGTTGAAGAATTACAGAAGCTCAATGTACCTTGGCTCCTGGTGTATGTAATAGAGGTAATAACAGTAATACTACCTCACAGGGTTGTTATAAGAACTAAAGTTAATACATTAAGATGACTTGAATCAGTGTCTGACACTGATAAGCATTTGCTACTA